CCTAAATCATGACAATCATTGTAGTCATTAAGCAATAACATTTTACTATTTAATGGATTAATGGGCAACACATGTTACTCTAGCACCTATCCTTCTGTATTTTAATATTTGGCTTTCTTTATAATTCTAGATATCTGTTTTTCTGATTTAAAAGATATTTTTTGTGAGAAAAAGTCTATAGGCTTCACTAGGTCACAAAAGAGATCAGTGATACAAAAAATGAACTTCATCCAAGAGGACAGAAATTGTTTTCTTTTGTTTCTTTGTTATATTCCTATTACCCAGTCTAGTATGAGGCACATAGTAGGCACTCAATGAATATGTATTAAATTAGAAATTGACAGAACAAATGCTAACATTCCTGAATCTAGTTTTGTCCCTGCCAATCTGATTCTGTCTACAAAAGTGAATGTCACTTCTGTGACACCAGATCTTGGAAGCTTCACACCCAACTGTAGGACCCTTTGTTGCAGAGGGCTGTAAAATGTGAAATCTACAAAAACAAGTAGTTTCAACAGGAGAACAGGCCCTGAGGTACATGGGACCCATCATTATCCATTTTCCTGGTTTCTGTTTATAGTCCCAGCTAATAATACCCATGTTCTCTGATGCTTGTTGTATGTTACAGGTTAGAACTAGATTTGAAGGGAGGGTACTGGTAACAAGATGTCACTCTAGATGAAGAACTTCCTCTTGTTCAAGACTTCAGCTCAGGGGCATGATCCTCTGGCCAATCATATTAAATTCTCACAATGGGCTCCTAAGAATGTTCCAGAAGACCAGGGTCCCTTTTGGATAGGGTGGCAAAAGAAGTGCCTCAAATGCCCGTATGAAGAATGGAGCACTTGACGAAGACTAGACTTCAAAGACTAGCTTCAAGACTAGACTTTGTCCTGGGATCTTGGGCAGGTTGCTACCCCTGGGCTGATTTTCCCCAGAATTAGTAGGCTAAAATAGTAATTGGGAGGCTTGAGACCTGCTAGAGAGGATGAGGGAATTAAATCATTTTGATACATTGAGGCAAGAGGAACGAGGCTTGCTCCCTGGTAAACTAACTGACTTCATTCCTGCCAGGCTGACTTCATTCCTGGTCCACTCCAGAGGCTTTGCCCCTGAGACCCTCACTTATCCCTTCTCCTCCATGCATACATGCTCACTGGGACTGGCTTCAGACAGTTCAGGGATATATACCCTTATTCTCCACAAAGTGCCTTGGTTAAGATTCTGTTCCATAAACTCAAGTCTTCAGATACTGAATTGCCTTGCATGGATAAGACATCCACCATCACCCTTGCTTTTTGAGACAGAGTTTCTCTGTGTAACAGTCCTGGCTGTCCTGGAACTCAATTTGTAGATCAGGCAGGCCTTGAACTCACAGAGATTTGCTTGCCTCTGCCTCTTGAGTGCTGGGAGTAAACGTGTGTGTCACTTGTCCAACTCCTCTTTTTTCTTTTTTGGGGAGAGGGGGTTTTGTGTAGTTCTGGCTGTCCTAGAACTCACTCTAGACCAGGCAGGCATTGAACTCGCAGAGATCCACTAGCCTATGCCTTCCGAGTGCTGGGATTAAAGGTATGTGCCACCACCGTCCAGCTCCCTTTCTTTTCAAATAGTTTGTTTTTCCCTTTGAGGAATATAGACTATATGGAATGTTGCTATGTTCCTCACACTGGTCTTGAATTCTAGGTTTAAGCAATCTTGCTGCCCCAGCCTTCTTATAGGTGAACAGCACCATGCCTGGCTAAGACATTCTTCCCCTTTATGTCTCAATCCTATTTACCTTATTCTGACAAAGTGAGTCAAGGTCAGAGTCAAAGTCATCAAAATCTATTACTTCTCTCCAAAACATTGTTTAGCATTCAAAACATATCCAAGAAGAGGCCCATAAAGGGAAGGGGTCTTGACAAGGATTCCACAGCAGACTGGCACCATGTCTACTTTATTTTCTTTCTTTCCATAGGTAAAGGCTGTAAATTCCAGTATCCTAAAAGGTAGTATGGGACAGGGAGATTTCTTGTGCAGTAAAATTCCAATTAATTTATGTAGGCACTTTGCTCTCAAGTACCAGGGGTATACTTCCTCATTTTGAAAGCATGGGCTGCACTTAGCTTCTCTGCATAGCACAAGACAAGGGGAAGATTAACTCTAGAGCAGAGAAAACTGTTAGACATTACCTCAGCCAGGTGTTCAAAGTTAAGATCTACAGTGATGTCATATTGATAGTATCTACCTTGGATATGATGCAATGGAAATGACATGTTTCATTTGTGGTCTTCTTCCCTCAGACCCATAACCCCCTTTAAGAAGTAGAAAATAACAGATAATTCTCAGTCAGAGGACATTCTACAAAATGCTTCTCAAGTGTTGACGACTCCAGAGCATCAAAAACAAGGCAACTCTGAGGAAGTACCATAACCAAGAGGAGCCCAAGGAGACAGTCATAATGATTAAATTGAGTGTGGTATTCTGGATGAGAGCTAGAGACAGAAAAGGACCATAGGTTAAAACCTGAATAAGATACAGACTTTAGATAATCATCATGTGCTGATATTGGTTCTTTAATTGATTAATGTGAAATATAAATACGAAGGGAAACTAGCTGTGAGGTATTCAACTTTGTTTGCAGTATTTCTCAAATCAAAATCTGTTCTGAAACCTAAAAAAGAATCTTTAAAAAATTTCCAAATCCCAGCATTCAAGAGACAAAGGCAGGAGGATCTCTATGAGTTTGAGGTTAGCCAGGACTACAAAATGAGTTCCAATATTGTTAAGGCTGTTACATAGAGATACCCTGTCTCAAAAAACAAACAAATACAAACAAACTATCTAAATTCCAAAATCAGCAGGGCATGATGACACACATCTTTAATCCTAGCACTCAGGAGGCAGAGAACTCACTCTGTGAGTTCAAGGCCATCCTGGTCTACAGAGTGAGTTCCAGGACAGCCTTCAAAGCTACAGAGAAACCCTGTCTCAAAAAACAAAGCAAAAATAATTTTCCCAATTTGTTCACACAATGCCTCTCTCCTTTCTTGCCATGCTCCTGGGAATCATGCTTTGGATGGCAAGTTTGGATATCTACTTAAAAGGCATCTTTGGAGCTTGAAGGATGGTTCAGTGGTTAAGAGTATGCATTGCTTTTCCAGAGTACCAGAGTTTGATTCCTAGAGCAGCGTTGGTATGTAGGGTGGTTCAGGGGATCTGATGCTTCTTACTTTCTTGGACACCTGCACATATGTACACTACATATAGTTAAAATAATTAAAATATGGGACTGGGGTGGTGCTCAGTAGTTAAGAGCACTTACTGCCCTTGTAGAAGACCTGAGTTTGGTTTCCAGCATAGAAATGGCAGCTCACAACCATTTGTAATTCCAGTTCTAGAGGATCTGATGTCCTCTTCTGACCTCCATGGTCACCAGGCACACAAGTGGTGTGCATACATACATGCAGGTAAAACACCCACATATCAAAATCAGGGAGTGGAGAGGAAGTTAGGAGAAAGAGAAGGGGAGAAGAGGAAGGGAGAGGAGAACATGAGGGACCAGGAAGGTTGAGTCAGGGGATGAATAGATGAGAACAAGAAAAGAGATACCATAATAGAGGAAGACATTATAGGTTTAAAGAGAAAACTCACTCTAGAGAAATGTTCAGAGACCTACAAGGATGACCCCAACTAACAATCTGAGCAATAGTGGAATTTGCCCTTAAATGCCCTTCCCTGATACTGAGATCGATAACTACCTTATATGCCATCCTAGAGCCTCCATCTAGTAGCTGATGGAAACAGAAGCAGACACCCACAGCTAAACACTGAGCCAAACTCCTGGAATCCAGTTGCAGAGAGGGAGAAGTGATGAGCAAAGGGGTCAAGACCAGGCTGCAGAAACCCACAGAGACAGCTGACCTGAACAAGGAGGAGCTAATGGGCTCCCAGACTGATAGCTGGGAAACCAGCATTGGACCCACTCAGAACCCCTGAACATGGGTCTTAGTTAGAAGGCCTGGACAGTCTAAGGGACCTCTGACAGTGGAACCAGGATGTATCCCTGGTGCATGAAAGGGATTTGGGAGCACATCCCCCATGGAGGGATACTCCCTTAACCTAGAGACAGGAGGGAGGGCCTAGGCCCTACTCCAAATGACTTGGCAGATTTTGATGGTCCCTCCTGGAAGTCCTCACCCTCTTTGTGGAGTAGGTGGGGAATAGAATGGGAGAAGGGATGGGGTGCATGGGAGGATGGGAGGGAGAGGGAACTGGGATCGATATGTAAAATAAGAAAAAAAGAAGCCTTAATAAAAATATTTAAAATTAGTCATCATTATGATCGTGTGAATATGGCAAACATTTGTGGTGTCTGTTGAAATAGAGTTTAGCACTTGCCAGGTCTCCCAGATATAACTTGCCTTTTAGATGCCCAGCCTGGGTATGTCTCTCTCATCACACAGCTACACAGTCATTTTTCTTCGCTTTCCCGTTATCTTCAATGCAAACTACACAACCTAGGCCATCTTTTTTTTTTTCCTGCACTCCCCACTTGGCCCAGGGCCAGGAATCCTGCACCCCCTCCCTAAGACAGGAGAGCACTTCTGCGTGACTGGGTTGTGCTGTCTAGACTGTTGTCGTGACTTTTTTTTTTAAATAGCTCCCCCACACCCAGCTCGAACTAGGCCTGAAAAATGGTTTGACGCAGTTCAAATGAATAGATGAATCACCAAATTGATGTTCTAGGACGCAGGATGCCACTGCGCCTGCGCCAGAGGGAAAGGCGTGGGAAGCTCTTTCCTACCTGGCTGGGTTTCTTAGGTCTCAGAGGCTGGGAGGGGGCGCCCTCAACCTCGTCCAGTCATTGGCTAGGACAGTCCGCATTGGTCTGATGCAATGCTTTTGCAGTCTCGCGGAGCTCTACTCCGCCAGTGAAACCGTTTGGTACCACCATCGTGCCAGGGCGTTTCCTGTGGGCGACAGGACGGCGCATTCGGGCGGACAAAAGACTCAAGTGGCATTTTGAATTTGCTCAGTTTTATTAGGCTCTTCGAGGGTCACGGGGAAAGGGGCGGGGCTTCTGGGGAGCAGGGATACCACAAAGGCGAAGCTGCCTTGCAAAGACACTGAGGCGGGCTAGTGGTCAGGGCTGGTGAAGGGAAGAAAGGGGTTGGAGAACAACTTCGGAGAAGGGGGTGGTAGCAGAGTCTCCAGACCACTGCTCAGTTGTGAGGAAGGTCACAGCGGCCCTCCTCACTTAGTGATTGGGATGTTCACACAGGATGGAGAGAGGGGCTTGGGCCTATGCTCACGAGAAGGGGGCTAGAGGGGCCCTGACCAAGGCATCACAATAAATAAGATTAGCAGCACACAGAAGCCTGCAGGGGAGGAGGGCCTAAGGGGAGGGTAATCCCTCCTCCAAATAAGATCTCTGCATCACTAAACCATAAAAATAAACTTTAAACCCGTGTAATAAGTCAGTCTCCCCCCCAGAAGTGCAATGTGGGGCCGCACAGCCCTAGCAGAAGAGAAGGGCAAATGGGGTAGGATATAGGGGTATATATAGAGAGCCCCTAAAGGGTAAGATGTTTATCCGATTTTCCCTTTCTTCCCCAGGCTGGCCCAAGCGTTTGGGACCGGCACCACCTCCTGGACATCAGAGTCTTCTGAGTTCAGGTCACTGTCTTCCACCTCATAGATTTGGTCCTCTTCGTAGCTGTCCTCGCTCAGCTCGATAGCTGTGAAGGGGAGGAGGAGGAGCATGGTTGGATGCCCCTCGAAAAGTGAACAGAACAAATAGCTATGGCTCTTAGGGCCTGGGACCCCTTGCCAAGTGCCTGTGCTTGGAACAGGGAGGGTGACAGAGAGGACATAAGAGGGGAGGGAGGAGGGAGAGGAAATGCCACTGAGATTGTTTGTATTCCAACCCAAGGTTAGAGGAGTTAGAGGAAGGCAGGAGGGCAGGGCATTTATCTTTGCCTGGTCAAAATGAATGCATTCCTGAAAGCAGCGCTTTCTCCCTCTGACTCCATACTCCTCAATGTGTAGCTGTTCCTGAGCGAGGCCTTGGGCTTATGAGCATCGGTTACTGTTTGCCTCTAATGTGACCCAAACTAACTCTAAGCTCATCTTGTTCAGTCGAGTTCCCAACCCCCACTACAGAGTTAGGCAGTTCTGCCTCCCATTCTTGGACAAAAGATATGCCATCGGGTGGGAAGCAAAGAGGACTGACAATTCCCTTCATTCCCCTAGCTTACCCTGAAAGATATGTTTATGGCTACTCCCTCACTAAAGGTTTTCACCTGCCCTGCTCCTTTCTTCAATGGAAGTTTGCCAGAAACCCCATGAGCAAATCTTCAGTAATGGTTTTCCCTATCTCCCTCAGGGGATGACCTTTCCTTTGTCTGGCCATAGCCAGGTTCAAATGAGTTCTTTGACTAGCCTTCCGGGCCAGAACTAAACCTGGGAGTCACCTTAAAATACTGCTTTATCCCTCAGACCACTATGTGCAACCTTGGACAAAGAACATGTTCTGTGCTCAAGAAGTTGGGGAAATGTGGAGTTATGCCAAGTGACATAGAGTTTTTAAAGGCAGGGTTCTCATATCTTGTAGAGGATGCTATGTGTATTATTTGTCTAACACATTCGCTCAGCAAACCCTTCTGTGAGAAGCAGCTTTCAGAACTAGTGAAGGGTCCTCGGATAATCTGGGAAGCCTTGCCAAACATTCTGTGTTACTGATCCATTCCACAGAGAAGGCTCCATATTGCTTTTTAGCAGAAGTACAATTTCCAACTCAAATGGTACCTCCTTCCCCTTGCTTTCCCTCTCCTTCCTCAGTCCTTGAGGTGAAATTAACTACTCTGCCCTCTGTCCTGGAGTACCTATATTCTGCTCTCCTCCCCACTAGCTGCCCAAAGAAGCCTGCGTGTTCTCAGAAGAGAAAGGGAGAGGGAGGGGTCTAGCTCACCTTCCTCACTGGCCTCCTCCTCTTCTTCCTCTGTTGATTCGTCAGAGATGATTTCGACCTCCTCCTCATAGCCATTCTGGTTGGTGCTGTTATCCAGAGTCTTATCGAAGACTTCAATGCCATTCTTATAGTATTTAATGTCCCTGTCATCATCATCACTGCCCTCATTGTCTCCCTCATTGCCATCATCATCACTGCCCTCACTGTCACCTTCATTGCCATCATTATCTTCATCATCACTGCCCTCATCTCCATCATCACTATCACTGCTCTCTTGGATAGCATTGCCCTGCTGATTGTCACCTTCTAGGGTTGCACTGTCACCGTCAGCTTCCTCATTATTGGAATCCTCACTGTCATAGGTGTTCTTTTCTTCTGGGCTCTCACTGCTGTCATCTGGGCTTGAAGCAATACTCTCTCTGTTGTCATTTATCTTATTGTTGGGGCCCTCATCAAGGTCAGGATTGTCGCTGTCACACAGGGTCTCATTGACGTCAGTTACCTCATTATCAGTGGTCTCAAAGTAGTCGGTGGTCTCCATGAAGTCAGAGATCTTGATGTCATGAATGGTCTCATTGTCAGTGATCTCATCAATTTCTGAGATTTCACTGAGAATGTCTTCAAAGGCATAATGGTCATGAACATCTTCCATGATCACCATTTCATATTCATTCTTGGCTTTACTGTGGGGAAGTTTGAAGCTAAGTATAAGCTTAATGGGAGAAACCAGGAAGGCAGTAGGGTACTAGGGCTTCTAAGAATGGGGGAAGGTCCCATTGCCACCCCTGACTATGTAACCTCAGGCCACATCTGGTCATCACTACTCATCTATAAACACTGCATTAGATTATCTCAATTGTCCCTTGTGCCTCTGTAAATCCTGTGTTACTGACCTATTTAGAACAACAACAACAACAACAAAACCTCCCAGGCATCATTTCTTGAATCACCTTTCCTTTCCTTCTTGCTTCTTTCTGTTTGTCCTGTAGCCACTTCCTCTCATGTAGTAGCGTACTGGGTTAACCCATAGGTCATTCTTGATAATCTGTTGAGAGGTGGGGAAAGAGAGAAGAGAGCCATGAGTATAAGCCTTAGAACCCACTTACAATTTCTCATACACCCTAAAGGCAAGTCTGGCAATGTTTTCTTTGGCAATGCCAGGAGGGGCTCACCTCAGCAATTCTGTCAGCTTCTGGGAGGCTGTGGTTGGAAAACCAGTTGAAGAAGCTTTGTCTGGTATCATGGTTCCTGCGATTGTAGGCCTGGGGTTCCTGGCCCCGGTGCCAACGTATCGGGGTAGAATGAGACACCAACCGGCCTAGAAAAAGAGGAAGAGATGCAGAAGAGAGTGGAAGTGATAATGTGGGGGGGGCACAGATTTATTCTGGGACTGCCACTTACCTGAGCGGTTGCGCTGAAACTCCTTGACAATCACCATGTTTGTAAAATATGGGTTGGTCTGGAAATACAGCTTCATCTTGTAGCCCATGGAGATATGTCTGAGATCCTGTACCTGCTCAGGGTGGGGGTAATGGTGGCATGTAGCCCTTCCAGGGTCCTTCCCACCCACCCCCTCACCTCTAAGGACCAGATTTCCTTCGCTTTCCTCCTTGGTCTGACCTGAAGATTGGTCAAGTAGCGGAAAATGTCTTCATCGCGTTGGTTGATGAAGATTGAAATTCTGGGGTGGTTGAGGAACTGATGAGTGGAGCAGTTTAGGTCAAGGATTTACTGTTCAATGTAATGGAGGGGAGAGCAAAACAGGCTGAAGCACGGGGGTTATGTTCCAGTGATGTATGTGGATTAAGTGAATGCTTATGCAATATTAAGCCTCAGTGTTAGGTAGCCTTGCCATGGTTCATATTTACTGCATGCCTGTATGCTAAGGCTCTATGACCATGTCCATATGATTCTTGTCTCTTGGTGATAGGTGCTTATGTTCACAAAAGGGCATGTGTCTGGGAGCGAAAAGCCCAAGTCTAAGTAATAAAGTATTTGGTTATCAAGAACCTGTATTTACATGATGTTACATGTACAGGTGTTGATGATCATTGTTCATATGGTGTATAAATGGCTCTGGTGGTCTGTATGCTTAGGCTATGTTGCCTCATATCTAGGTATGGAAGTTAGGTATCTACATGATACCCTATGCCTGTCTACTGAGGGCCTGTGATCATGTGACACTTTGTATCATGGGCCAAGTATTTATGTCTATATAAATCCAATTAAAATGTTGAACCTCTGTATTTTAAATATGTTACATATATGTTTCCTGGGGATTAGCTCAGCAGTCACCAATAGTGGATTGGACTCTTCCTGTTCTCCCTTTTCCTTAATTTAACCACTTGACCTCCACATCCAAGTGGTCTTTCTCCTGATTCTTCAGGGGGTCCATCCCATTTCTATCCTTTCCCTTCTAATGGAGAGTACAGTAAACAGATTTGAGGTCTCTAGCTATCTAGGCAGAGACTCAAGATAACAGAGCCTTGTGTGGTTTCATCACCCTTCCTGGGGTTTATTTGCCCTCCCTCCCAACTGTCAGTTCATCACCTGTATTCCCCCTCCTTCCACTATGTGTGATCTTGTTTATCAGCTATGTGCCTTCTCTGTTACCCCTCCCTTTTTTACTGCCTGTGATCCATTTTTTTTTTTAATGTTATGGTGCTTCTGTTTTCCCATCTGCAGTCTAGTTTTTATGCTATTTTGCCCTCTTGCCTTCCCTCTTCCACTCAATCTAGAATCTTCTAATGGGGATTCATTCCCATCTCTGACCCTCCCCCACACCCCTTGTTTCTCTTTTGCACATCTCTCCTTCAGTCATGGGTCTCTGGCCCATGAGTATCGATGAGAAGGATACTGCTTTGACCCAGAAGCCTGGAATATGCTGGATGATGAGGTCTCTGCGCTCCAAAAAGGGTCTTCGCATCTGGATGAATTTGCGTTTGAGACGCAAGAAGGCCTTGCCTGCCTTGATGTTCACCGCCTCCAGGTCCATTTGAATGCTCTCCAGGGCCTGCAGTATGCTTTCCATCCTCTGGGCACTCCTCTCTCGGTTTTCCTTCACCTTCCTCTGCTTCCTCCTCCTCCTACGTCGCCGCTGCCGCCTCCTCACACTTTCCTTTTCATCCTCATCGTCATCTTCCACTATGATGATAGCCTCTTCCTTGCTCTTTGGACCGACTAACATCTGGGGCCCCCACCCCCCTAAGCTACAGGTTTCTAGGGCCTTCTCTCCAGCAAGGCTGCTGGGCTCTGCAACCTGAAAGTCAATTTCCAGGCTTCCCCCAGAGGTTTCTGATGAGGGGATTGTTTCCATCATCCCTGTGGGAGGGGGCTCCCCGAATCCCGACTCTACTGCAGGATCCCAGCCAGGACACCCAGCACCCAGGGTGAAATACGCGCGGATCCCTCCCTCCTCGAGAATGACATAGGGCAGTGGTGGGGGCAGCGTGGGGCCCACCCCCCTCATGTCAGCCAGCACCTGTGCAGCTTCGGTTTCTTCCTGGGGTCTCGGACGCTGCTGGGGTGGAGGCAGGGGCAGTCGCAGGAGCGGCGGGGGTGGCGGGGGCGGCAGGTCGCGCTGACGGGGTTCCGAGCTGCTCAGGCGGGGGGTCTTGGCCGGAGGCCCCTCATCCGGGCGGTCCATGGTGACCGCGCTCAAAGCTCAGGGAATTGCACTGGCTCTTCTGCTCTCAGATGAGGCCTTCGCCACCAGTCACACTTGAAGCGGAGCCGCCACACCTCAGGCGACCAGCTCTGCTCACCACCTCGCTCTGACGTCCCCTCCCACAGCGCCTGCCCTGCTCCCACAGCGCCAGTCGCAGAGGCCCCGCCCACTCCTTGGCAAGGCGTCTCTTCTGCCCACCATTGGCTGCAGGCCTCGGAGGTGGCGTTAGCGTTCCCTCAACCCCTGCCTTGTCTCACGCAATCCGCTTGCCAACACTACACATCATCATTTTCTAATTGGCTCCCTTCGCACCCACCAATCATCAAGCTGACTGCCCCAGTGATGAGAGGAAAACTGCAGGGCGATTGGCTGTGAGGAAAGGTGGGATAAGAAACCCCTCACCCCCATTCTTGCAATGTTTTATCCAATGGGAAAAGTACCAGCGATTCGGAAGACCACAAGACTGGACCCGGGGAGGGTGGCTGGGAGTGCGCAAGCGAGATGTGCTCAAATGAAATCAGAGAGCCTCGCTGTCGTTCTCCCCGCCCCGCTCCCCGGATCAACTACGCACTTCTTAAATTCTGTCCCTTCCCCCACCAGTTTTTGCTTCTGGGGTGAACGCTGTAGCCCCTCAGACGCACGTTGCCTTGATGTACTAGTTATTTAAGTTATCTGAGATCTTTGTTTTGGTGGTCAGGTTGTGACAAGGCTTTTTCCATCTCTGCAAAATGGCTCCAGAAACAATCACAGATGCAAAAAAGCAACTTCCTCTGCGTCATAAAAATTGATTGCGATTCACCTAACCTTCTAGATTCTTCTAGAACTTTAAAATTTACTTTGTCTACACAGCATTCCTCCTCCCTTTATTTCCTAAGTGAATGCTGCTATTAATCATAGCCTAAGATTTTATTTTATTTTATTTTTTGTGATCAGAGGTAGCTAGTCTTTGACGAGGCATGATGGTGGAGTTTTGTCTTTGGTTCTGGAGTTCACATCGCAGGTGACTATCACTGTGACTCTAACCAAATCTCAGCCCATCTCTTTCCTTTAAATTAGGCATCCCTAAGGAGAGGAGATAATTGCCCATTGCAGCCTTGCTGTGGTAGCAGAGGGAAGGAACCTAGGAATCCATTACCAGGAGAATGGATAAAATGTGATATATGTTTTAGATGGACTACTAGAATGAATTGATCTATGTATAGCAACATGACTGGATCTCTCAAAAACAGAATGTTGAGTGTAAAAAGAAACAGAACAAGATTTATAGTACAATACTGTTTATGTAAATTAAAACATCAATGCCATATATTTTCCACAGATACACATAAGTAAATAAACACATGAACGGTGGTTTGGAAGGACACACATTAAGTACAGACGAGTGGTGCCTATGTAGGGTGGGAAAGGATGGGGTTGGGATGGGTGATGAAGGGGACAAAACAAAATAATAAAAGGACCTTGCATGGACCAATGATGATATAGTGTGCCAAGAACTGAGGAATATGGTCAGCTCAATTCTGTGCACCTGAAGGAATAAGTAAATAAATAGTAAATTAATTGAGTGCCTAGGGAGTAGGCCAGCTGGGTAGACCCCCAGACTTGGGCGTTTTCGCCATGTCATCCTTCCTTCTGAATTTAGTCAAAGCTGAACGAAGTTCCAGCTGTATATAGTGGAACCTAAAGAACTCCCAGTTCAGACTGATCAGTCCCTCTAAAAGCTATTACATTGCAGGGCTGCATTTCTTAACCCTATTACTTCCATGTTTGACACCTACTCCATCCCCAGTTCCTATTTCCATGGTGGTCCAATTTCAGAAAATACTTTATTTGAATTTTGGAGTGGGGACTGTATCTCCAGACATTTGGAAGAAATTGGGTTCTGAACTATCCTCTCCTCACCTGGTGCTCAGAAGCTGGGCCAAGCGAAGACAATCTTATGAGATGGGAATTGACCCTCTTGACACACACATACATAAAAAATTTCAGGTTCCATCTCCTAAGCACTCTGTATCTTGCTGCAGGCACATACTACGTTTTGTCTCCTCTCCTCCTTCGTATATCTCCTCTCCTTGTGTGTGTGTCTGTGTGTGTCTGTCTCTCTCTCTCTCTCTCTCTCTCTCTCTCTCTGTGTGTGTGTGTGTGTACGTGCATATACTCTATTTTCTCATATATAGGTATTTGTTTACATATGTGTACCAGGCAAGTTTTCCTCAGGGTTTCCTATCCACACAAAGTCACACAGACACACACTGACTCACTCAATCATACCTCCTCACATGTGATCATACACAGATAGGACACACAGAAACACACACACAGGAGAGAGAGAGGGGGAGGGAGGGAGACAGAGGGAGAGAGAGAGAGCATCCAATATAACATTGTTCATTTTAGTTTTTCCATTTACAAAATCCAATGATGAATCAAGGCAATTAGAAAAAGGAAATGGAGGAAAACCCTCCTGAGTCTACCCCATTTGACCTCCCACCTTGGTCTTTCCATCCCCACCCTCAGAAGGCATTCCTATCATCATCGCTGAGAGAACAGACCCCCCCCCCATTCCCAGTCTCTCGGCTGCTCTGGCCTGCTTTTCCAGGGCCGCTCCAAAACTAGGGTCATCAATAATATCTCTTCTGTCTAGAGCACCCCCTTCATTGCTTTTGGATCAAGGTTTCCCTCAGTTCAGGGGCTATCTTGGGGTAGAGGTGGAGTTTAGGACAGGAGTTTATAAGGAAAGAAAGGGGATGGAGAGATCACTGCCCCAAACTTACACAAAGGGTTCCAACTTGCCTCACCAGTCTACAGAACTGGCCTTGAAGTAAGCCCAGAGTGGTCTCTGTATATGGAAAAGAGGCTTGGGACCTTCTGGCTGTAGAATTTGGATGTAGTCTGCTCCACTTTGGGCATAGGTAAGGGTGAAGGGAGGAAGAACTGCAGGAAAGGATGTTTGGATGGGCAAAAGGGCAACTAAGGAAGGTGCTCAAAGGCCTGTGAGGCCTGGCTGGGAGGGATGACAAAAAGAGGTCAGGCAGGAATAGACTCAATTTTACCGTGCCTTGTATCACTATTGATTACCAAGGCCCCCAAAGAATTTTCATTTTCAGAATAGCGTGAACACAAGAAACAATCATGGGGCTGAATTTAGCTCTGACCCCAGGCTCTGGAGAGTTCAGCTATCTCCTTATACTTCCATAGATGACGTCCCCTGTCAGTATATACCCACATCATCCCTGGTAGGGACAAGTGGATGCATATTCCCAAGAAGAAAGGCTGGGGAATCCAAGAGAAAGCTTGAGAGAATATAGCTAAGTTTGGTATATTTTGGTTGAGTTGCTCATCTATTGTTCAGCTTTTCATCTGACCTGGGCACATCATGGAGGCCCTGTCTGTATGCTCTTGGCTTCTCAAACAGAGCCTCAAGAAACACCTTCAAAGTCTGGACATGGTAGGGAAGGACAGGAGACCAGGCTTGGGATAGAGGGTAGCCAAAAACAACATTGCACACAACATAGCAATTTAAACATCTTTGCTCCCCAGGAGGGCAGCACCCATTTGGTCCCTTTTGTGTGAAGCCTTAAGTCAGGATTTCCTAAACATCCAGGTCTTGCAAGGGACTCAGAATGGGAGAGTGAATGGGAGCCGAGGGGGCAGGATCATTGGAAATCTATTTTACAGGAGAAATTTCCCATTTATTGACAATGTCAAAGGGGGGGCATTTAAGCAAGAAAGCCTGTTGCCTCAGCTGTTATAATTAAAAACCCTGCATTTTCAGTTTGTTTTCTTTTACTGAATCATCACTTTAGAAAGATAGGAGAGGGGAGAGGTATAGGGAGGCAGGGAGGGCATGGGAAAATGAGATTGTTTAAGAGGAGGCGGCTGGAGGACAAGCCCCACAAAACTAGAAATGCCTCTTTCCCAGTTCCTCACCCAGTTTCCACCCCTAGGGAGGTGTTGGCAAAATGCCTCAGTTGTGGATGGTTTGAGAGCCTGGGCTGAAGTTCAAAAAAGAAGGCTTCTGTATGGGTCCCACTCTTCCCCTGCTGTCGGCCCCAGTATGGTGATCCTAACTTACTCCCTGCTTATCACCTACTGGCTTGTTTCACATGACACAGTAGGGTTCCCTGGGAGCTGGGGCAGCTCCTGTGCCCCAGCAAGGGGCATGAGTCCTCAGGCACTTCTTGAGGTCCTTGTTAAGCAGGAAGCAGACGATTGGGTTGACAGCAGCCTGAGCGAAGCTCATCCAAACAGCAGTGGCCAGGTAGCGGTGGGGCACAGCGCAGGCTTTCACAAACACTCGCCAGTAGCAGGCCACGATGTATGGTGACCAGAGGAGCAGGAAGAGCAGTGTAATCGCGTAGAACATTCGGCCCAGCTGCTTTTCACCCTTGACCTCGTCCATGCCCAGTAGCCGCCGGCTAGCTGCATGCCCATTCTGCCGGATACCCAGCAGAGTTGGTGGCATGGGCCCACGGCCAAAGCCAGCGATCCAGTTGGCAGCAGCCTGGCCGGTAGCCCCAGGGCCATGGAATGTCCAGTTTTGGCTGATGGCTGGTACCATCTGCACTGGCTTCATCTTGCGGTGACGATACTCGAAGAGTAGCAGCTTGCCATAGACAGCATGTGTGGCTGCCATGAGCACAGCCAACATAAGCATAAAGCCCAGTGTGTCATTTGCTTTGAAGTAGCGATGCTCAAAGATGCACTGGTCTTCCTCTCGGATAAACTTGTAGGTGCCCACATCAAAGACAGGTGGGAAAGCCATGGCCACAGACAAAGTCCAGGCCATGCAGATGACAGCTGCGCATGTCCAGAGTGTCATGCGCTTGGCATAGAAGCGGTGGTGGGCGATGGCCATGTAGCGGGTGACGCTGATGCAGAACAGCATGAAGGCCGCATGGAAGCAAAACAGCACAGCCATAAAGGCCACAATCTTACAGCTGAGTGCACTGAATGTCCATGAGGAGCCATGGCGCACAGAAGCCAGTACAAAGGGGAAGCAGATGGCAGAGCGTATGCCATCAGCTAGGCACAGGTCCAGCAGAAAGTAGTAAGGAGCCTTGTGCAGGGCACGCTCCTTGAGCACCAGCAGGGACAAGATGGCATTGCCTGCCAGGCTTACACACATGATCAGTCCCAGCAGTACCAGCTTCACATAAGCCGATGCTGATGGCAGAGACAGTGAGCCGCTCACCTCCTCAGGCTCTCCGGTGGTGTTGGCCATACTGAGGGGCAAGGGCTACCCCCAACCCTAGGGGGTTGGCCAGTCCAATATTTGATGGGACCTGGGGGACTCCATCAGTTGTCTTGCTGAACTACACCTGCAAATGGTAACAAATGGAGGGAGAGACAGAGGTGAAGGTAGGAGACAGAGAAAAATGCAGAGACAGAGTGGTAAATAATGAGATTGAAAAATGGTGACAAGGATACAAATGGATAGAAAACAACACAGAAATGGAACATGATGGGGGAAAGGAGAAACATGAGAAAAACAGAGAGGGTAGGTTAGTGTGTTTATGAGTCCTTCCCATTGACTCCCCAGATACTCCTGTTCCTAGCCCTCCTAATGTCCTCAGATAACTCTTTCTTTCTCCACTGGTGGGTCTGCAAGGTTGAGGATGTTGGTCCAACTTTTCTTCCCTTTTATAAGCCCTAAAGTTGAATTCAAGTATTGGTTTTTTCCCTGCTACCCTTAATCTAGTACACATGTGAGTGATTGCATGTGCACACACTCACATCCCAACTATTTGTTAAACTTTTGACAGCTGCTCATTAGATTTCTTTCTGTCTTTTACTCTCTCCAATTTCCTCTCGCCCCTCTGCCTTACTTTATTTCTTCTCTCTCTGTATTTTCCTTTTGCTGTACAGGGGATTGAATATAGGACTTCAGGCCTGGTAGGCAAGAGGCCTGTCTACCAATGAGCTATATTCCTAATCCTTTTAAAAAATATTACCATTTAAACCTCTAATTTTGTTCTGGGTGGTGTTGGTGCACACCTTTAATTTCAGCACTCGGGAGGCAGAGGCAGAGGCAGAGGCAGAGGCAGAGGCAGAGGCAGAGGCAGAGGCAGAGGCAGAGGCAGAGGCAGAGGCAGAGGCAGAGGCAAAGGCAGGTGAATCTCAGTGAGTTTCAGGTCAGGCTGGTCTACAGAGAGAGTTCCAGGACAGGTTCCAAATGTACAGAGAAACCCTGTCTCAAAAACCAACCAACCAGCCAGCCAGCCAACCAACCAAACAACACCCCCAAACAACAACAACAACAAAACCTTTTAATTTTGTAATAGGTTCTTGTGAAGTTGACTGGGATGGCTGTGAACATTTTCTCTAGCCTACACTTGAACTTGGGGTCATCCTGCCTCAGACTTCCATGTGGTAAGATTACAGCTCTATGCCACTGTGCCCAGCAAAATATCTTTATTTGTGGTCAGGAATGTGTGTAGCATGCTCTAAGAGTAGTGAGAAGACTAATGTTAATGGTGCATTTCAGAGATACAGAGGTAAGAGGTGAAGCCACAGAAGGCCAAATGTTGCAGGGCTGTGGATAAGGCCTCTGGCTTTCGTTTTGTGTAAATGTAGGATTATATATGAATATAAAAATGTAAATATGCTTGTTGCTTTGGTTCATTGAAAAAAAGCATTCCTTTATTTTAGGTCATTCATTGTTTTTGGCACTGAGGATGCAGCTGTGAATCAGAGAGATAAAAGATTCCTACTCTAGCACTTGGGAGCCAGAGGCAGGGGGATCTCTGAGTTCAAGACCAGCCTGATCTCCAGAATGAGTTCCAGGACAGCCAGAGCTGTTGCACAGAGAAATCCTGTCTCACAATCAAAGAAAGAAAGAAACCAAAAGAGAAAAGAAAAAAGATTCCTAGTTTTGTGTAATTGACAAATTAGGTAATAAGAAGAGACATGGGTGAAGTTAGGATAGGAGATGATGACAATATTCTGAAATATAACCATGAAGCAGGGGAGGAGGATTTAAGTGTCAAATGAGGAGGGTATAGCAGTTTATCGATGATCTGTGTAGGGAGAGCTTTACAAAGGAGGGGTTATCTAAGCAAACAGACTCTTTAGGTGTAGAGGACTCTAGGCAGGAAGAATAATCAGAACAAAGGCTCTGATATGGAGCTACACTGAAAAAAAGCAAAGAAGCCATGGTGGCTGGAACATTGAACAAAAGGTAAGTATTGGGAGATGAACTCATAACATCATCAAGGACTTATCATAGAGGCCATAGTAAGGACTTTGATTCAGAATTACTTGGGAGGGTTTTGAACAGAGAAAAGATGTGATTCACTTTCAGGGTTGAATAAGATCCTACTTGTTCCTGTGAGAACAGAGTATGTTCCATAAAGGTAGGAGGGAGTAAGGTAGGGAGATTAGTGAGGCTTCAATAGTAATCCAGCTAAGAGCTCATAGCATCCCCATGCTCCTTTCCTTTTTCACCCGAATCTCTCTCTTCTAACTATATCTTTAACTCTTCAAATTTACATTATTGCCTGTCTCATCTTATTAACAGAAGCCCCGTAAGGGCAGGGTAGGCTCCCTCCCCTCTAAAAGGTCAGTATCAATGCACACAGTAGGTTACTGGTGAAAAGATGCCAAGGGCTCCATGGAAATAGTCACACTACAAGCATAGTCTGGGGAGTAGGCTGGCAATGTGGGGCCATGACAAAGTGACAACATTTTCCAGAGGGAAGGGAGCTGGCCTGGACCACATAGAACTGATGCAGAAGAGGCTGAGCTTTACAGTTGGGGTTGGGCCTGGCCTGGGAGATAGGCTAGAGAGATGAGTTGTTGAAGTGGATGGCTTCTTACTAACTCCCTCCCAGTGAAGTTGTCCACTTTACATTGTTTTCTAGCTCAATACAGTCTGGTATGAAGTCTCATAGCCAATGGCCTACTGAAATGAGAACATGCTAGGGCAGGGGTTGGAAAGAAATGCAGATAGTCAGGTCTTTTTCAGTCCCTCCAGCTCTGATGCCTCCTACTCTTCCCAGAACTGCAGACACTCTCTGCTGTAGATGGGAGAAGGTGCACACACACACACACGCACGCACGCACGCACGCACGCACGCACGCACGCACACACACACACACACACGTGTCTTGGCCTTAAGGGTGAGGCAAGGAGTAAAAGGGATAGAAACAGACTATGTGTAAGAGGTAGTCAGATACACTGGGGGTGACAAAGAAAGAGACGTGTTTGCAACAGGCAGATGGTGACATAGGAGAAGGAAAGACAGAAAAACAGAAAAAAGGACAGGAGACCAGATAAAAATGGAGGAAGAGGGGAGGAAGAGTAACTTAAAAGAGACATATAGACAAGAGAGAGAAAATGGTGGTTAAGGATAATAGCAGGGGGAAAACACATCTAGAACACAGCTCCTTTAACTATGGGTTAAATTCTCTATGGGGTTGCATAAGTGAATGTGAGGGTTTTGAGAAATTCTACACAATTTCTGGATGTGTAATGACCAAACATTAATTCAAAATCAAAGGTATGATGAACCCCACATGATTCTGGCAGCAGTTGCTTGTGTTGCACCATACATACAATGTTACTGAAGCAGTGGTTCTGAGCATACAACACACACACTTTGCACTGCACATGCCGCCATACATTCCAGTGACACAAATGCTATCTGAAATACCTCAGCTCAGACTTGACACTACTGTATGCTATGAACTGCAATGTTTTTGTTATGCATACAAGTTTTCTTTTATAAAACATAATGGTTTTAAGTACAGAAAATAAAAATTTTAATACTTTCCTACTGTCACGTAAGCATCAAATTAGCATGCCATTACATTGTATTGTATTAGAATGTGTTATTTTTTAAAAAATGCTATTTCAGGTGGCTCTCTATGGCCAGCCTGGTCTATGTAGAAAGTTCCAGGATGGCTACAGCTACATAGATCCTGTCTCAGAAACCCTAAGAAGCAAAATATTAAAAATTAAAGAAGTTTGCCATTTGAGTTGCTGATTTGAGTGTCATAAAAATCATTAGATGAATTTTAGCTTAGGATTTCCAACAATTTTTGAAATGTCCCTAACCATATTTCTGTCATTTTACATTGCATGTTTATGTAAAGTGGAGTTCTCAGTATTGACAGTTATAAAATCAAAATACCAGTCAACTCTTTCAGGCAGGGTTTCTCTGTGTAGCCTTGGCTCTCCTGGAACTCACTCTGTAGATCAAGCTGTCCTCAAACTCACTGATATCCTTCTGCATATGCCTCCCAAATGCTGAAACTAAAGGTGTGTACTACCACAGCCCGGTACCAGTCAACCCTTAAAACACAGAAGAGGGCTGTAGAGATGGCTCAGAGGTTAAGAGCACTGGCTGTTCTTCCAGAGGTCCTGGGTTCAATTCCCAGCAAGCATGTGGTGGCTCACAACCATCTATAATGAGATCTGGTGCCTTCTTCTGGTGTGCAGGTAGAACACTGTATACATAGTATACATAGTAAATAAATACATCTTTTTTAAAAACACAGAAGATGCCTTATATGTTGCAGTATCAAATATTCAGAAAATATTTAATTCTTTGTGTTAAAAAAGCACATCAATGCATGCAAATTTACTTTAGTCTTTATGAATAGTAAAATTATATGCATATCACAGAATTGTTTCAGATAAATTTGTTAATTAATAGTAAATGTTTGATTTGTATACTTATTTTCTATAACTATATACCTGGGAATGCATAAAAGGGGTCACAAGTAGAAAAAACATAAGGAGCCTTGATCTAAAAGACTAGGGAGAGATAAGAGGGTATAGATACAGAGACAAAGCACACAAACATGTAGGGAGGGAGACACACTAAGACTGATATACTAATGTGCAGCTCAGGGTCTCAGTGAAAACAAATGTTAAAGCTAAAATCAACCCCCTTCCAAAAGAAAAAAAAAAAAACCAAAACAAGAAACAAAACAAAACAAACAAACAAAAATCCCCACAAAAAAATAAATACAGCAATCAAACAAAGCTCCAGTGTAGCTGGGAAAGAGGTTGCATAAATGAGTTCAGGTGCTCCTAAGCACAGTCTGGAAGCCATAGCTGAGGCCCAGGCCAGGCAAAAGATTAAGTGTGTGTGCACAGAGAATACCCGCCTGTACCTGGACACCCTTGTGCACAGACCTACACACTCACAGGCGTCTGAAACCCCAGCCTCATGGACAGCAAAGTTTTCATGTGTGTGCAACACACACACACACACACACACACACACACACACACACACTGAGTGTTTGCATAGATGGGTCTTGTATCCAGTTGTAGTACAGGGCTTTGTCCTTTACAAAGGCATTACTGCCC